CTCTACATCCTTCCGCATGCCCACCCAATATAGCTCCACTGCATGTCTATGATATATCTTCTAAACTCCTGAATGTCCCCCAATAGCTGTGTCATGAAACTCCTGCAATAAATGAGGAATGTGTGGCGATTTTCTCGAAAGCACAAATCGTCCTTGGTATAACATCTTTCTACGCATCAAAGAATAACCAGGATGGCTATCCTTACCTTGCAGCAAGTCTCCTCTAATCTTACTCAGCTTCTCATCCTGCTCGCTGTCACGCTTCAAGACCTCCCAATTCATCACCATGGGATTAGATAGATCCATAACCTGAAGGTCTTCACTACGCCTGGAGAGAGCATCTGCTGCTTTATTTTCTAGCCTGGGCTTGTATTGGATCTCGAAGTCATAGCCCAACAACTTGGAAAGCTATTGCTGATACTCCTCTGTCACCATCCTCTGCTCTAACAGGAACTTCAAACTTCTTTGGTTGGTCCTGACTATAAAGTTTCGTCCCAACAGATTAGGTTGCCTCTTCTGTATTGCCAACTTTATCGCCATCAACTCCCTTTCATACATTGATTTTAGCTTGGCCATAACAGTCAAAACCTGGCTAAAATAAGCTATGAGTCTCTGACTTTGCATACGAAATGCTCCTAACTCATAACCTGATTCATCAATCTCAACTACAAACGGCTAGCTAAAATATGGTAATGCTAACACAGTGACACTCGTCATGACTTTATTTAGCTGCTCAAATGCCTTGGTGGCTGCCACCCCTCATTTGAAACTAACCTTCTTCAATTGCTTTGTCAACGACCATGCTATAGAACTGTATCCCCTCACAAACTTCCTGTAGTACCCTGTGAGTCTAAGAAACCCTCTCAACTCCTTTAGGGTTTTGGGTAAGGGCCACTCCAACATACCCTCTATCTTAAAGATCTACAACTACTCTTGATTTGGACACCACATGTCCCAAATACTTCACCATCTGATGTGCAAAGGAAAACCTCTTCAAATTGGCATACAGTTGATGCTCCTTCAATGTCACTAACACTACCCTCAAGTGTTTGATATGCCAGGCTCAGACTGACTATACACTAAAATATCATCGAAGAAAATCAATACGAACTTGCGGAGGTAGGGCTGAAATACATTGTTCATAAGCGACTAGAAGGTAGCTAGGGCGTTGGTAAGCCCAAAAGGCTTCACTAAGAACTCTTAGTGGCCTTCATGAGACCTAAAAGCAGTCTTTTGGATGTCAACAAGCTGCATTCTAATTTGATGATATTCTGATTTTAGATCAATCTTGGAGAATATCATCGCTCCGTATAACTCATTCAATAACTCATCAATGATCAGTATAGGAAACTTATTCGACACTGTTTCCTTATTCAGAGCCTGGTAATCTACACAAAATCTCCAACTATCATCCTTCTTCTTCACCAACAGCACAGGACTAGAAGGGACTAACACTGAGATGAATGATCTGGGCCTCTAACATCTCCTTGATTAGTATCTCAATTTCATCTTTTTAAACCTGTGGGTACTGATAGGGTCGAACACTGATCGGGGATACCCCCTCCTTTAGGATGATGGCATGCTCATGCTCCCTCGGAGGAGGTAGGCCTTGAGGCAGCTGGAACACCTCTCTGAATTGTTGTAGGAGTGGCTGGACTATCTCTGAAACATTCTTTTTGCTCATACTTCCTCCTCCCTCGAGGCTCTAGAGCTCCACCAATAATCTCATCCCTACTCCCTGGATTGCCCACCATGTTCTTGAGAGAAATCCTAGTTTTGGACAAACTAGGATCTCCCCTATTCTCACCTTCCTCCCTCTCACCATGAATTCCATTGTCAATGCTTTTCAATCCACCTTGGTTTCCCCTAATGTTTGTAATCACTTCATGCCCAAAATTGCATCCGTGCTCCCTGACTCCAAGGGAAGAGAATCTTCCTTCAATTTGATATCCTGCAGTGTCACCAACTCACCATCAACCCTAGGAAAATGCCTTTACTCTTCTTCATCTTCCCCATTCCCATCATCACCCCGAAACAGCCCGTGTCGACTAGCTTCAGCCCTAATTGATCCACCGCCTGGTTGGAGATGAAGTTGTGGCTTATCCCACTATCCACTAGAACTATCATTGATTCTTCTTCTATCTGTCCCCTCACCTTCATGATGTGATGTGAGGTAAACCCCACCACTGAGTTTAGGGAGACCTTCACCACATCTAGGTGCAATGCTCCTCCTTCTTAATTACCTCCTCCTCATCACAGACTGTAAGTGCCTACAGTGAACGATCCATGCAATGGTAGCCTGGCGCAAATTTATCATCACAACGGAAACACAATCTCCTAGCTTGCTTCTCTTCAACTTCTGCCTCAGTCAACCGCTTGAAATTTTCCCTGGGTCGTACTCCCAATCCCCTATCCTTTAGTACTTCTCTCTGAATGAGCACAAGTTGTACCTTTGGTGCCAAAAAAAGTAGTTGTCGTCCGTTATTAAGTTCCCAAATTGTTGCCCTTGCTGCTTCTCTCAAGTGAGTTTTTGTCCTCCACCAACTGGGCTAGCTTCATAGCCTCCCCCAACCCTTGTGGCATCAATAACCGGACAACAGACTTGATCTTTGGCTTGAGTCCCTTCATGAAATTTTCCTCCAACGTTATCTCAGAAAGCCTACCGAATCGGCTAGCAAGGTATTCAAACCTCTCCCAATAATCCATCATTGTCCCTTTCTGAACGAGGGAAAATAACTGCTCGTAGAAGTCTCCTTCCCGACTTGTTCGGAAATGTTATTATAAACTATCTTTGAACTCCCTCCACGATCAAATTGGTTCTCTCATGTCTCTCCACTGATACCAAGATAAGGCCTTCCCCTCCAAGCATAAAGCTGCCTCTGGGAGTCTCTCTTCCTTCTTCGGCCCATTTACTGCAAAGTATCTCTCCACATTATAGATCCACCCATGAGCATCTTCCCCCTAAAAAATGTGCATCTTCAGTTTTCTCACTCTCGGAACCCATCCACTCCTACTTCCTCTTCCGCCTCCGACTCCTCCCATATAGTGATTGTTGTAATCTCTCCATTGTTCTCTCCCACGCTTCTCATTTCATAGATATCCTCTTTCTCAAAATCAGCCCTCCTTGTTTCTTCCTCCCAATTTCTCCTCATGCTATATCCTTCACCTATTTCCCTCCTAGTTATCGGTTCAAGAGGTGACATATTTTCTCTATCGCCCAAGATTTCTACCTATCGATCATCCCTCATTGTGCCTATATTGGGGTTTCCTCCACTTCCTTGGCCTCCCACCGGTGCCCTCGCCTTTGATGTTGCCGGTTGGGTGTGAAGCTCCAATATTTTTTTCATCATGTCCTCTAGGTTAGAAAACCATCCTTCCATGGATGAAATCCTTTCCTCAACTTCATATTTGAATTGAGCAACTTCTCCTTCTACTTTCTCTTCCAAAGCATCCACTTTCTTCGACGCCATAGGTCCCGAGTCTTTCTCTGATACCAATTTGATAGGACTTGATTATCAAAACAACGCTCAACAATGTAAAAAACAATAACTTACTCCAAATAGATCCATAAATAACACAAAGAGAGCTATTTTTACTAATTTCCAAGCAAAGCATGACAGGATACAAGTTGATTCATTGTTCGAGAGCTAAATTGTCTCTCCCACAATTCCTATTTCCTAGCAACTACTAGGTACACAAACACCTCACAAAAACTGCTGCATAAATTCAAAGCATAACAGAAAAATCCTAACCCTCCATAATCCCCCCCCCCTCCTAAACAGCTCAAATCCCTTAATAAACGCCCCTTACATCTTTCACAAAGAGTTCTCCCCTTTCCCAAAGAGTTCCTCCCAAAGCCTCTTCTCCTATATGTGATAAAGGAGGTCCTTGAGCCCACCTGGGCAACCGGACTGCTGCTGTCAGCTGCATCAAAAGATGAAATACTAAATATAGATATTGCTAATTATTCTTGTTTCTTGACCTTTTTTAGATGTCCCGAGTTATTTCAAAATTAATCAGCCTATTAACTCGCTGGTGGAGCAAGAAACTGCTCGCACTCTTGTGAGACGGCTTGGATTGCTGATTGTGAGATATTTACCCCTCACCACTTCTCAGTTTTTTTTTTATAGACTCACTAGTTTACTTAAAATTTGTTCAGTGTTTTATGTGCAATTGTGATTAATGCAAGTCGGTGGGTTAGGTCCCTCCTGAATCCGTTTCATCATACTAGAACACAAGTCTGCACTCATTTGTAATGAATTCATCCTCTTGTTTGCTAACAACCATCAACCTACTCAATTGTGATTAATGCATGTCGGTAGTTTTTTTGATATGTTTTGTACCATGCATTTTGTGCTTTGACATTTTTTCCTCTTACCTAAACATAAATAATATCTAGCAAATCTTTCTGATGGATTTCAAAAGGTTCATTTCAATTAGAACCTTATCAAGATTTTTGAATTTATATGTTATTTTGGCTCAGTGAATTTGATCATTTGACAACGAAATTTTTCATTTGGCAAACTGCATATTAATGGTATTCTGGTTTCTTTTTGTCATATATTTGTTAGAGCATTCTAAAAATCGAATATAACTAGTAATCAATAGCTTATTTATAAAGAAGTTACAAAATTAGGTGAAAACATCTTGTATGTCAATAAGCAGGAATGCCTATCAGCATGTATTTGTGCAAAAGGTTTGCACCGCATCGAATCGTTTCCTTTTATGCATTTTTAGGGGTAAACCCTTTTTCAAAAGTTACACTCCTCTTATTGAAGCTTAGTTCAACACCCTTAATTGATTTGATCCATCTTTGGATGAGTATATTTCATACCAGGAATCATTACCTAATTGGTGCCTTGTTTGTCCACCCCCCCATAAACTACACATCCCCCTCAAACACCACACACACACAAGCATGCATGAAAAAATGCAAGTACAAAAAAATATATGTTTGATTAATAGACTTTCTAATCTTCTTTCTTTGCCTTATATATCAGAATCAACCTGCTTTAGAGAAGGATCGCTACAAAATTCGGCAAGCTTTTATTGCTGGACCCGGAAACTCACTTATAGTTGCTGATTATGGGCAGGTAAGATAACAAGGATCCATTTGTCATTCTTTCGTTAAATTTAGGACGTCTGCTTCATGTTTCTTTTTTCTTACTCTGAAAGAAATCTAAAATCTTAGCTGGAGCTAAGGATTTTAGCTCATCTTGCAAATTGTAAGAGTATGCTGGATGCTTTCAAAGCTGGAGGAGATTTTCACTCAAGAACAGCTATGAATATGTATGCGCATGTGCGAAAGGCTGTAGAGGATGGAAGTGTACTCCTTGAATGGCATCCTCATACAGTAGAAGAGAAACCTCCAGTTCCTTTGTTGAAGGTAAATATAGTTGGGATTCCTCTCTTTTAAACAGTAGTTGCGTCTTTAAGGAGGAGAATGGATCCCTCATGAAAATAAAGAGAAAATAGAATGTCCAATGCTTATTACTCTAAATTTTAGTAGCAGCATCAGCTTTTGTGGCTGTCTTCATTTTTTGTTATTTTCATTTGATTCTTTATTGGAGTATCTTTTTGTGGCAAAATAATTTACGCATCATTATGAGCAGTCTTTTGTGCCATTTTCATCCATTTTCAAATCCATATCCATTTTCTTATATTTAAAATTTTTATACTGTAATTATTTTAACATATATTTCTAGACTAAAAGTTAAAATTTAAACAGTCTTGTCAATTTGTGTCTGGGCTCTGTGCCCAATCTTTTATCTTTTTTCAGATATTGCAAAGTTTTGAGTTCATCTTGGGGTTGGGAGGGAGGGAGGGAGGGAGGTTGGTCTCCAACAATTTTTGAGTGCAGCATAAAGCAACTGTAAAACATTGCAAGCTGAAGAAAAGAACAACATATAAAATAATGCTCTTACACGACCAAGAATCAACAACCATAAGAGAAGAGCCCCAAGTGCCCTCACTAAGAACATCTAATTTTAAGTCTTGTATATTTTGAAGAATGGAGGTAATTTTTTTTGCTTTATCCACAAGCATCTTCTGTGCTATAGCCTATAGATGCTAACATCATAAACAATAGAAAAAGAATTTATATCACCTAAATTCCCAACAACAGGGATACCACCAAAAGCAAAGGCCCCATGTGGGTTTGGCTCAATACTCGTGTGCTTACGTGAGAGGTCAATCATAATAGTTGGGATATCAATTCAGAAAGGCACTGATGATAATGCAGGGTCCAAAGTTGATTCAAAGTTGGAGTATAAACATTGCATTAGAAGACTAGTTTTTATCTTATGAAATATCGCACTACCACAATGCCAAAGACTATGCAGCCTAGGGTGTGCACCAAAGCATTTAGAGATATTTTGCTCCAATATTTTGCAAGAAAGAGCAATAAAGGAGGAATGCCATCAAACTCTTCTATTTGCAAATAGCTAGTAGATGTGAAGTCAATCCAAATTTTTTTCACTAGAGAGGAACATTCAATTTCACCAATACCCTAGCCATTGATGATATGGATAGCCTAGCAATAGCATCATCCTGCTGAAATGATTTACTAAAAATTGAGCCAAGAGAGTACAAAATGGATTGATTGAAGTGGTGAATCTGTATATGTGAAAAGTAATCCTAATCAGAGTAACATGAGCTTCTATGAAACAGTGAAAATGAGACATATTAGTCCTCCTAGATAATAGTCTTAATTAATCAAATTCTAGGGAACATTGGGGATAATTTAATTGGAGCATTACAAGAATAGATAAGTCCAATTTCATGAGCCCCAACCAAATGCAGATCAACCATAAATCTGTGAATCTTTATACTGGGATGACCCAAGGAAAACTTGTCAACTAGGGTGAGAGAAAAAGGTGAAGCCAACTAGAGATCTCTTGTTAGACAATATGAGAGTTGGTTTACCTTGATAGGAGGATGACAACTTATGGTGAGAAGTTGCATGCCCATATTGAAATTTGTGGGGAAATGAAAGGAGTCATGCCTAGAACCCTTGTCTACAATAGCAGCCTCAAAAAAAGATTGAGGGGCGCACAACAAGGGATATATCACAAAAAGAGAAGCCCCTTGAATGGGAGCAACCATTAGGGTGGAGCATCAAAATGCGAACATGGGATGGAGGGGATGTTAAGAAATGATTTGAAGCAATAGGAAGCCAAGTGGAATGACATCAAAAGTGAGAAGTAGAACATGGGATGGAGGGGATGTTTAGAAATGATTTGAAGCAATAGGAAGCCAAGTGGAATGACATCAAAAGTGAGAAGTAGAATATAAATTTATAAAATGTTAGCTGAATCAAAAATACACGGGTGGCACTCTACACATCAAGTTCAAAGACAACATTGGTGCCAACACATCCCCTCAATAAAGGCACTAGAAAACAACCCTTGATGCACACGATTGCAAGGCATTGAGTGGTAGAGCCAGTGCAATGAACAAGCATGCAAGCGCCCATGGCGCCAAATCTTTTGTTATGTTTTTGTCATATTTTTGTAGGCTTAATTGAAATATAATTTGTGTATAACTAATTGAATATAATGACTTAATGCAGCTAGTTAGGATGCCCCTCAGTCAATTCTCCTCATATTTTAGTGGCTATTTGTTGACTTACTCTGGACATAAATTATATGATTTTTGTGTTTCTCCATGAAAATTTATTGATTAGGTGCGGCAATAATAATATTAATAGTCGTGCCATTGTGGCCTTCTCTTAGTATTTTTGCTATTTGGTCAAGATAATAATTGGTGACAGTGAATGGAGAGTTTGAAAAGATGTGTTGGGGGAGTCTTGTCCCATTGGATGTTTTGTATTGTTGTGACATTTGTGCTATAACTCTCATCAAGGGTTTAAACCTTTAAATTTCTGTCTTTTTTTCCCAGTCAGCACCAGGATATCATGTGACAAGTTGATTAATATGTAGTGTCTGCTATAATACAATCTATAGGCTTTTCATGGAAAAGTTTTAGATTTTTAGAAATAAGTGAAAATGCCAGTTTTTATGAAGAGGTGAAACTTAGAATGATTTTTCAATATTTATGATAAACATTGGTCTAAGATACGAAACTATTCAAATTAGGAACTTCTTTATTCAAGATCATATTTGCCACTATTGTGAAGTATATATTCTACTTGAGATGATAGGAATTAATGAAAATTTTTTCATATATTAAGATTAACGATGGAGTGCAATCTTATAAATGAATTGTCGTTAATTGGTTCTTAGAAATGAGAAACAAATAAGAATAAATGATCTGAACTAAATCATTTTTTTTTTGCCCAACTTTGTTCATGTTATAAAAACATTTCTTTGCTGGCCCTTTTCCGCACACAATCCATCTTAGTCCTAAAGGGGGTGATTGGGAGTCTCCCTCTTAGAAAGTTCTTAGCTTGACATGAGATAGAAAGTAATAGAAAGGGAGAAAGGAAAAGGGAGGAAGAGAGTGAGGGAGGGAGGGAGGAATGTGTTGTAGGGTAGAAAATTGCAAAAAATAGAAAGAAACATAATAAATGATAAAGAAAAAATGATTTCTCATGTCTTTAATATTGAAACTTTAAGGTAAGTTGTTGAATCCTGAAGCACGAATAAGAGATGTGAATTTTTAGAATCTATGTTGGAAAAAATTCTAAAGAACTAAGAATTTCAATCAAAATCATTCATTGATTCAATAAAATAAGCCATAAATACTTATTTATATAAGCAGTGTTATAAAATGTAAGATCATATAATTTGAAATTAAATTTAATGCTATATAATTCAAATTGAAGATTTTCAAAAGAATAGTTCAACTTAATTAAATAAATCTAATAAATCCTAAATCATAATGGAATGAAATAAAATTGAGATAAATTAATGATATATTTTTTGTGCTTCACTAGTTCTAACAGGGTGAGAACTCTCCATTGGAGAGTAAAGTGTGGAAGCTCTTGAAAGAAGATGATATCCTTTTTTGTCAAAATATTTATAGCATTTCTAGATGTTGTTAGCAGAATTCTTGACAATAGAAAGAGGAACAAACCCAATCTTGTATAAACTTTAGCTATAGAAATGACAGTAAGAAGAATCACAGCTTGATGGTGCCTCGAGCTACTAGTTGCATTATTAAAATAACGACCAATCTTAGTGTTGAATGGCAAAGCATCTAAAAATACATTAGATTGTTACTTTGCGAATATAATATGGCTTTTTAGTTCTTGTAGGTAAAGATGTAACTAAAATGCAAATCATTATTAAAGGTTTGATAAACTATATTATAACCTTTCATGAAAATTTATCAAATGCTAGAATTAATTTACGTAATAATCATATGTGCTTTTTATCTTGTATAACAAAAGTCATCTAAAAATTAGCATAAAGAAAAGGATCAAAATGGTCTCTCAACTCTTTATGAGGGACCAAAACAGTCCCCAACTCTTTTGAGGGACCAATTTGGTCCCCTCAACTCATTAAAAAGGTTTTTTTTTTTATCCTAACATCAAATTTTGGGGTTAAGTGTGTTAAATCAAAGTTATCTTTTAATTGAATTATTTAATAAATGTAATTTTCAAATAATAGTATTTTTAAAAAAAATTATTAAACATTTCTTTAATAAAAAAATTATTAATAATTCTAATTTTAATTTATGATCATTATAAACTAGAATAATTACTATTTTTATGTTAAAGAAATATTTAATAATTAAAAAAGTACTATTACTTGAAATTTATATTTAATAAATAATTTAATTAAAAAATGACCAAAATACGCATTGATTTAACACCATTAACTCCAAAATTTGATGTTAGGATAAAAAGACTCCTTTTTAATGAGTTGAGGGACCAAGTTAAAAGAGTTGGGAACCATTTTGGTCCCTCACAAAGAGTTGAGGGACCATTTTGATCCTTTTCTCAATTAGTATATAATTCATGGATATGTTTAATACGTAGTGCTATAAAATCATAAAATTTATTTTCAAGGAATGTTTTAAACTACAACCTATCCAATAGTTAGTTCATGAAGAAAAGGTGAATGAATAAAAGATTTAGAATCAAATTTTATGCGTTGCTTGAAGTTTTCATATTTAGTTTTAGATTCAAATTCAAATGTTGTAGTTGATGCAGAGTTATCCATAAGGATATTTGGTGAAGTATGTAGGATATTTATTTGTTGTGGCATGCTTGCGTTCAAATAATCATCAAGAAGTGACCAATTTCCTTAAATTCTGCAATATTTTTATCTCTAAAATTTGAAAACTCGTCACGTTTTTATATAAAATTCATAGTTGTATAAGGACGTGTAGGCGATATGACCTTTTTACTTGGAACTCATAGGAGAGCCTCAGAAGTTTGTGTAAAAGGCTACCGGCAAATTGATCACTTTTTAAGTTATGATTTTTGGAAGGGATAAATGTAGGCTGAACTGAGGGGCACAGGTTTACTTAAGAGACAATGCTAGACCTATCATAGTCGTGACAAATTGATGGACATTGTTCCAAGAAGAAAGATGTAATCTTCTTTCTTAGGATGAAAATAATTGATAAATACAGATGTTATTACCTTTTTTTACTTTTCTACTCATATTTAGAATTCACCTCTTCAAATTGATTTAGATATTCATTAATAATTTGATTATCTTACCTCAAATTTTATTAATTCAGTAGTTTTAGACTTTAATAAGTAAACAAACTTTTATCTCTAAGTCTAGCTTTCATGTCAATCCAAACCCTAATAGGCTAATATTATATTCAACTAAATTGCCTATTTCACATAGAAATTCAAGCCTAAATCTCTTAGCAGCATCAAATAATTTAATCATTTTTTTGTTTAATATATTCTTTGACATTCATATAATACCAGTTAAAGGGATTGTCAACTGTTTTGAGCAGGATGCTTTTGCTGCTGAAAGGAGGAAGGCAAAAATGCTTAATTTCTCCATTGCTTATGGGAAAACTCCAGTGGGGCTTGCAAGAGATTGGAAGGTATTTGTTTCTGAAGCACTTAATTGACATTTTCTTGATTTTGATGCAAATAAATTTATATGATTCTTGCTTGTAATTGTGGCTTGTTTTCAATTTTGTTGCATATGGTTACGTTATTGAAGATTTATGCTTCAAGCTTAGAATGATGGTTCTTAATAAGTATTTAGCATTGTTATGTCATTACATATTCCCATTTACATACAAGGAATGGTATCATTTTTACTCCATGGCATCTGCTATCATGATTCGCAAGTTATGACTGTGTTTGGGAGCTAGCATTCTTCCCTCTGCTACGGGAAAAAAATTAAGCTATGCTGCTTGAAAAAAAGTAACACTAAAGATTTTTAGGCTTTATAGCTTTGCATGGAATTAGATAATTATTGCAAAATATAGACGCTAGTTGTAGAAAAATAAAGACAAGTGGCGGCGTAGTTGAGGAAGACAAAATAAGACTGAAAAGGGGAGGTACAGTTGGCAAAAAATTGTAAGAAAGGAGACTTTGGACAGCTTGGCAAAATTTTGATGGTAGCTCCTCCCACACAACTTTAACACAGGATTGGAAAGATGTTAAATAGAATTATTTTGCATAGGAGTCTGTGTGTTTTGGCAAGATTTGTGTTATAAGTTTGGAAAGATGTATTGTACATAATGTCGGAGAGGCTGAGGAAACATATTGAGCGAAGATTTTTCAAATAATTTAGGTGGGTTATTCATTTATTAATTTTGAAATTGTGAAATCCATTTTTTTATAAGGTATATGCCCCAATTGGATCCATTTGAAATATCCCAAAATTTCAAATTTGACGAAATTCAGAAAATTTAATATCATTGTGTTCTATTCTGCTGCAAGCAAAGACTAGAGAAAAGAGACAAATTGGAGAACACCAGGACAAGACTTAAACCAAACTCAATTCAATTGTAACTTGCAAACATCCAAACAAACTTAGGAAAAATAAAAGCCAAATCGAAAGAAAATAAATAAAAATATAAAAACACTATCCTCAATATAACCGTCTAGCGGTCTCCTCACATGCAACGAAAGTAGAAATTTAATAAAATTGTGCTTATGCTTGCAAACCAAGGGTCCACCACTGCAAAAGAGTCCAACGTCCTTTCCAAACTCCTCCAGCAAATGTCTTCAAATTTCAGCCAGCATGCACTTCCAAAGCTCAATAAGAAGGATACAAGTGGAGTGGAACTTGCGTAGAGAAGATCGGTTAGAAGCCAAAACTAAATAGAAAAGAGAAGAAGGGGATGGAACAAGCTCTCAAGCTTTTCCAAGAAGAAACCTTAAGGTTTTTGTAGAGTTTTTACTCACAATTTCAACAACCTTTTTCATGCCAAAACATCTCCATTTTATAGGCAAAAGAGTGGAACCAAACAGCCATAACACCTCCAACCAAACCAATTAGATTTAGGAAAATGAAAGGCCAACAGCCACAACATAGCAGCCCCAACCCAGCACAGGAAACAGAGAAAATAAGGTCACGAGACACCAAGCAGGCAGCCACGGGAAACCCAGCCAGTAAGGGACTCGAGGAGCCAGCACAGAGAACGGAACAACAGCACGGGAAAACAGCCAGGGCCACGGGAACAACAAAAGCCAAGAGGAAACTGAAGAGACAAAGGGAGGAGAAGGGGCAAAGTCCACTCGAAAATGAATCCAAGACTTAATAGCATACCTTTTTTGAATTAATGAGCTAGGAAGTGCAATTAATCCCCAATCATTGAGCTAAACTTTAGCTCAAGCATTTATGAGCTAGCACCAAGTAGAATCCAGCATGTATGAGCTCAACACCAAGCAACCAAGGCCCACCCTAGAGCAGCCACCACTCCAAACTGAAAACAGCAAGCAGCCCAAGGACGAAATCCCAAAAGCCAGCAAACCCAAGGCTTGCCATGCCTAGCACATTCCTACCATGATCATTGGAAACCCAACCATCATAGGATAGCATAAACAAAAATAAAACACAACTAATATTGTTCATAATACAATAAAACATAAATAACTAAAATATTGAATGCATCATATTCGTTGATTGGAACAAATCGACATAATTCAACATATAGAACTATATGTTGAATTGTGAGGATTGAAAGTTAGAGAATTAAATGCCATTTGTATTTTTTCTAAGCAATAAACCATATTCATTGTTTAAAAATGTGAATTACAGTAGCAAGGGCAGTGATTTTGTTTTGCAAAGGCATTTTCCATGGCATGCACTAGTTGGGATGAGGGCATTTAGGTAATTCCAATGGTTAGTGTTTTTAAATTATTAAACAATGCTTTTTGCTTTAAAACTAAGGTTTCTGCCAACCGAGCATTATTTTCTTCCTCTTGGAGGCACGAAAGTGTTGGTGCGGACGTGAGCTTGTGAGGGTCTGAGGTAGATGCTGGTACCCGAGTGTTGAAGGCTAGTTGGTGGTTAGTAAAGGTAGAAATTAAGGGAAAACAGTGAAGAAAAAAAAGTAGAAAGAAAAAGGAGGAAGAAAAGGAAAGGTGAGAGGTTATATTGTATATAAAGATGAATTTAATTCCACTGAGTATTTTGTGTAAAGTGTTCATTTAAATTTATATAAGACTTTTGTAGTAAAGACGGAGGGG